AAAATAAGGAGAAGCAAGCTGAGCACAGGAATTCATTACTCTCTTCTTCCTGACTGTGGACATTATGTGAGCAGCTGAGTAAAAATTTCTGTTGCTTTGACTTTCCCACCATGGTGACACATTACACTGCGAGCCAAAGGGAAAGTCCTCACGTTGCCTCTGTCAGGGTATCTTATCATAGCATCAGGAAAAGCAATTGAGACGGAAGGTTTTCTTAAAGTTAAGACCAACATTTGAAGCAGAAAGTGTTTGAGTAAAACAGTCGCCCTCTTCTGGCCTCCATGGGTACTGCATGCACATGGTGTACATACATGCTGATACACATATAAAATAAAAATATATAAGTCTTTGGTGTTTAAAAATAGGTATGTGGGAAGTGCCCTGCGAATGAGCCTCTGGGTAGGGTGGTAAAAAGAGAGATTATAGAATGAACTAGGGCTCTGGGTCCATCCTGTCTACACTGCCCCCCATATACTCCCCACCATTTCTTGTCTACCCCCCATTCCCCAGTTCTTTAGGGAGACTGACACCAAATACCCTTTGTATCCTAAACTAAAGATTCTGGGCTAACATATGAAGTTGCTTGGCATGTTTCTTCTTCTACCGTTTCTCCCTTGTCCTAAGATGGTTTTTCTTAGCAAGGTCATTTGAAAGTTTTTGTTATCTTGACCAGTTCCCACTGGTCTGTAACTCATGGACTTATGCAAGATCATGGAGTGGGGAACAGGGAGGAAGTTACGGTGGGGGAAGGGGAGGGGTGTGAGGAGGGGTAAGGAGTCTTTTCAAAGATTTCTTTAAAATCTTGGCATCAATAAAGTCTCTCAAGAAGTCTAGGACTCCAGAAGGCTACAGCTGAGGGCCATAGCAGAAACAACAGGAATCCATTTCCAATCATGGGGAACAAAGGAGTCTTGGGCCCCTCTTATGTCAAGTGAACAGCCACCTTTGTGCACAAAGCTCTAAAGCAGAGGAAACCCCTTAGAGGATCTACTTCGTGATCCAGTAAAGGCCTGGAGTTACAAGCAGCTGTGCACTGCATGGTGTAGGCACAGGGAACTGAACGCCAGTCCTCGGTGAGAGTAGTATGTGGCCTCTTAAAATAAAAAGATTTATTAATTGTATGTGGATGAGTGTTTTGCCTGTTTGTATATATGTTCACCATGTGCATGCAGTTCTTGAAGAGGCCAAAGAGGGCACCAGATCCCGTGGAACTGGTGTCACAGTTGGTTGTGAGCCACCATGTTGGTGCTGGGAATTGAAGCTGGCTCATTTGCAAAAGCAAGATGTACTTTTAACTGCTGAGTCATCTGTCCAGCACTTGTCCCAGGTGGGTTTGTTTTGTTTTTGTTTTTTTTTGTTTTTTTGACAAGATCTGACTATCTGACTATGTAGCCTTGGCTAGCCCTGGTACTCACTATACAGACCAGGATAGCCTTGAACTCAGATAGCTCCTCCTGTCATTACCTCCCAAGTGCTGGAATTAAAGGCCTGCATCACCAGTCCCTGTTCTTTCTCAGAATTTTGAGAATTTTTAGGTCATTTGCTTCTAATATCTCTTGTTATAACAAAAAAGGTATATTTTCCTTAAATTTACTTTATTTACATTGGAGGTAGTAGTGGTGGTGGTAGTGTGTGTACATGTGCACGTGTGCATGTGTGTACATGTGTATGTGCTGCAGGGCTGTCTAGAGGTCAGAGAACACCTTTCAGGCGTCAGTCTTCTCCTTCCACAGTAGGATCTGGGATTTGCACTCATAATCTGGATCAATCAACAAGTACTTGCTACCCACTGAGCTATCTTGAAGACTCAAATAACTGTATTTGGAGGAATATAATTCTTTCTAAGTGCACATTTACCTACATCCTATAGAAGTTGACCTGTAACTTTTTTTTTTTGTATGTAGTATCATGTCTCATGAAGACATTATCATATAAGTACTGTGCTGGGTAGTTTTGTGCCAACTCAACACAAGCTAAAGGTATTTTGAGAGGATGACTTAAGAAAATGTCTGTAGCGATTTTCTTAATTAGTGATTGATGTGGCAGGCCAAGCCCACTATGGGTGGTGCCATCCCTGCGCTGGTGGTCCTGAGTTCTATAAGAAAGCAGACCGAACAAGCTATGAGGATTACAAGCCCCTCCATGGCCTCTGCATCAGCTCCTGCCTCCAGATTCCTGTCCTGACTTCCTTTGGTGATTAACAGCTATGTGGAAGTGTAAGCAGAATAAAGCCTTTCTTTCCTAGGTTGCTTTGATCATGGTGTTTCACTGCAGTAATAGTAACCATGGGTAGGACAAGTATGTAATAGACTTTGATGGAGTATTCCCTTTCATTGTCTCCTTCCTGTAGACATGACTTCATTTCCTATAGATAGACGCCCCTCTCCTTTCCTGGACATGTAACTTTTTAAAAATAATTTTAAAACAATTTTTTTTGAGACAGCGTCTTTGAACTCAGAATCTGCCCATTCTGCCACTCTAGTGGTGGGATCAGTAAGATGTAGCATTTTCCGTAAGTAACATGTTTACCAGCCCGTTTCAAAAGACTTACTTCATTTGAGGTTTCCTTTTAAATCCCTGTTACCAATGTTTTGTTAGTTTCCAAAGCATGAGGATTCTAAGTGTCGATTTGTTGCCAATTTGCCAGGCTGTTACAGAGCACAATTTGAGGACCCTGGCTCTCTGCAATTGACTAGGGATTGCTTTAATACAAGTGTAAACAAACCATCTGGACCTTGGTTCTCTGAAATTGACTGGGGCTGGCTTGAGTACAAGTGTAAACCACTCAGTCCTGGTCCCACGTGGCTTCAAAAGTTGAATATAGCTTTCGGTATTTGGGGTGGAGATTGAAAGACTGAATTTTACTAGTCTTCCACCTGGTTTTCTTTCTTTCTTTACTCTCAAAGACTTGTGGCTCAGAGCCAACTGCTGCCTGTTGATAGTTTGTGACCAATATGTATCCTGTTAAAACGGGCCTTTGAGAACTCAGAAAGTCCCAGCTTGTAGTGTTTTTAGTTTCCATTCTAGATATCTCCTCTGCAGATAACATCAAGTTGCCAGTGGTTAACAACTGTCTTTCAGAATTCTCAAGTATTTCACAGAGGGTCTGCTAACCCTTGTAAGCCAGCTCCACGTGGTATGTATGTATGTATGTATGTATGTATGTATGTATGCAGGTATTTGTTTGTCTGTCTGTTTGTTGTGCAGGATGCTTGTGTGCCTTGAGGTCAGAGGACACCTTCAAAGAGTCTGCATTCTCTCCTGACCATGTGGATCCAGGGATTAGAACTTCGGTCATTACCCACAGAATCATCCAGCAGGCCATATTATTTCTCGATAGTTCTGTTGTATACTTGTTTTAGTCTTTGGCATTTATTTGGAAAAATAAATATTTTTCTCACCCTCGTTTCCCCTTTGTCTCAGATGCTTTTTAAAAAACCATCTGACTCTGGGAGATGTTTCAGACTCTTGGTTGTTCGATAGAACGAAGCCTTCCAGTTTGAACACGTTTGCAGTTTAGCTTGTTTCTGGCTGTCTGTGTGGTGCTGGTTCAGGCACGTCACAGGCTTGAGGGGTCAAGGCTAACTGAGTGTGGAGAGTCCCCATATGATCCCTTCTCGGTTCCTCTCACCAGGGAGACCTCCCTCCTGGGCTGCAGCTGAGCAGCTGTATACTGGGGCTGGTTTCAGGGCAGGCTGGGAGTTCTGACTCTGCACACTGGCCACTTTCAGTTCTTGCTTTTTGAATCCTATCCAGAGTTTTCAGTGGCCATCATACTCAGGAGAGACAAGGGGGAAGGGCTCTTAAACTATCATTTACCTTAAAAAAATAATTAAATAACAGAGTTAGCAGCTCCAGGTGTTGTGAGTTTAGACAACCCACCACAAGCACCGTTTCAAAGGAGTGGGACCATTCAGAGCACATTGAATCTGTGCGCTCAGATTCTTACTTGAGGTTCAGTGACTATGTCTGCTCATTTAGTTATTAGCAAAATGGCACTGATCCCTGAAGACACAAACCACCTCAGGGTCACTGTGCCTTCATTTGACAGGAGGATGAAGGGAATGGTTGACCCTGCCTAAGGACATGAAACCATGGGAGCTGGGAGCTGCTTAACATTGCTCCTGGGGCACCTGTGAACTGCTTGTCAGGGGACGATGGCTTTGTAGCCTCATCTGGGAGGCCCAGAGTGAAACCATATCTCCCCCTTCTCCCCCTTTTTTGAGCTTTACCCTTGAGCTGTGTTCAGCAATCCTGTGACAATTTTTATGGTTTACATTATTTTAAAACATTGTTTATCTTGTGTGGCATGTGGAGGCCAGAGGTCTTTAGCAGGTGACTTTCTCAGTTTCTACCTTACTTTTGGGGACAGGGTTTCTAATTGAACCCAGAGCTCATTGATCTTGTCATCCATTGTGTTCCACAGGCCCGTGTTTCTGCCTCCCCAGTACTGAGGTTCCAGGCAGGTGTCACTGTGCCCAGTTTTCAAGTGAGTGCTGGCAATCTGGTCCCAAGTTTTTGTGCACATTTAACCCTTTACTGACTGAGCCATCTCCTCAGCACCAGATCTACAATATGATAAACCCATCCAGGGGCAGGAGACATGGCTCAGTGGTTATACACCTTGCTGTTCTTGCAGAGGGCCCAGGTTCAGTCCCCAGCAACCACATGGCAGCTTGCAAGCAGACTCCAGTTCCAGTTTGCAGTGTCTTTCTGGCCGCTACAGGGACCTGCACACATCCATGCAGGAAGAAAAAAAACCACATACAATAAAAGTAAACAGATCTATAAAATTAAAAAAAATTCAATACATATTGACCTCTCATATACAAAGATTTTTCTCCTAGGGTGCTCTGCTTTCTTTCTCTGGAGGGGTTTGGCTTAGGGGTAAAGAACAATAAGGTGTTCAATTTAATGTCAAGCTTTACCGCTTCTGATTTAAATTCCAATTCTTACTATATAGAAGTTCACTGAGTCCCATAGACTTTGAATGTGATTAGTTTTAGTGTGGATGTTTTTATTTATTTGCAACTTGCGTTTTATTTTTTTTGTAAGTTTTTTTTAAATAATAAAGTTTATTTTTTAAAAAGAATGGAAGGGTCACACTGATCTCAGGGCCAGGGAGGAAGCTTCCCTCCACACACTGCATCCCTCTGATATCCATTTCACCTCTGCCCATCACACCAGCCTGTTTCCATAAAGTTTATTACAAACAAGGAAGGGACTTCTGGGGGTTAGTCACTCATCGTAGAATTTTGGCAGCTCATCTCCCAGGATGACTCGACGGTCCACACCAGCAGCTGTAATGGTGACCAGGTAGATGACACCTCCGCTAGAGCCATCTCGGTTCATGGCCAGAGCGATGGCTGCAGAGGATTCACATTGGAGAGAGCAGCAGAAAAATGACTGAAATACTCTTTTCCTTCCCTTTCCGACTACACACTACTTTTCCTTCAGAACTCATCATAATGTCCAGCAAACCAGTATCTGCTCATGTTTCTTCTGTAAATGTCCAAGTTACCTATAGGTTAGCACAAACTGTCCAAATCCTTGAAGGCTGAGCAATCAATTTCGTATGAGATAGCTGGGGGGCGGGGTGGGTGGTGGGTGGGTAGAGGGGGATAGCTCAATTCATTGCTAGTTCCCATAGTGACCTCACCCTTACGTGATTTGCTTAAGACAGTCCTGCTCCATTCCTACTTCCCTCCAGCCTAATCTCTTCTACCATGTGTCTTGTCTGTCTCCTCCCACTCTCAAATGACTCCCAGTTTCAAAAGATGGAGAGATAGCTCAGTAGTTAAGAGCACCTATTATTCTTACGGAGTTTGGTTCGCAGCACCCACTTCGGGTGCCTTACAAACACCTGTAACTCCAGCTCCGGAGGACCCAGCATCCTCTTTTGGCTTCTACATACACACTCATGTACACATGCATAATTAAAAGTAAATATTTTTTTAAGCTTGGACACGGAATGGCCACCGTTGTATTTCTTTTCTTATTCTTCACAATCTACTTTCTTTCCATACCCACAAACCCTCCCCAGGTCACCTCTCAGTTGCCTAGTTACCATTTGTGGTGAAGCGCCGGCACTCCTCGGGGGTCATGCCCGGCTTATAAGCTGCGTCCACATAACCGTAAATGTAGGAACTTCCGGAACCACCGATGGTAAAGGGCTGTCGGATTAGCATCCCTCCCATGGTTCCATACACCTAGAGAGAGGGTCCCTCAGGTCAGGTCAGGGTCATTCCACAGCTTCTTCATGTTACATGGGCTATTGTGAAGACCTGGGACCCCCACATTTGAGCCTACAGTATTCTTTTATCATTTATTTTAATCATTCATGTACACCTGGCTTGCCTGGAACTCTCTCTACAGATCAGGTTCTTCAAACCTGCAGAGATCCACATGGCCCTGCCTCCAGAGTGCTGAAACTCAAGATGGGTACTACCACATCTGGGCTGTAGTATGTCTTTAGAGGAACCGTCTTTGAACCACAAAGCTGGAAAGACATACAACTTTCATCTCTCTCAGGAGAGGAGTGGGGAACCCTAAGACCTGGAGTGGACGCACTCACCTGGCCCCCTTCACGTTGGTCCCAACCAGCTACTATGAGATGCGCTAACAAGTCCTCACGGTATTTGTAGGAGATATTCTTCACCACGTTTGCAGCAGCCAGAACGAGGGGCGGCTCCTCCAGTTCCAACCTGAAGCGGATATTGGGAGTGAGGGTCAATGGCACTCTGCTAAGTCTGATGCTTGTCACCTAGTCGCCCCTCTCTGCCAAGTCAGGATTAAACCAGTAGCTGCCGCAGATACCAGCTTCCCTCCCATGTGCCTGGGGGAGTCAGAGTGCCACATCAGAGATCCTCAGCTCTTCATCTGCTTTTCTCTGCTCCACCTTCCCACTCCCAATGATAAACCCCTCCCTTGACTCTAAGGGCCCTGCCCTCATCAGTTAAAGCAGATGATAAGCTTGCTTTCATCCCAGTGACCTCGATTTCTCCTGGCAACTGCCTGATATTAGGAGTGGGTCAAATGTCTGTCTTCCTCCTGATTTCCTCTATCGGGGCAGTGATGTGCGCTTTTCAAGTCAGCACAGGGGAGGTGGAGTCGCTATTGTGATTTTCTATTCACAGGTGCAGAGCACTGGCTCCCAGACACTCCAGTGTGAGCTCAAAGCTGGCAAAGTCACGCAGCTGGAGAGTTTTAGTGGGAGGGGAGTCAGGACCCCGGGGTTTTGTACCCGTGCAGCTCCAGCTGGTAGGCGGCCATGTCGGCTATAGCTTGGGCATCAGCTGCAGAACCTGAGAGGGCACAGTAGATGCGCTGGTGCAGCGGGGAGAGCTTGTCGAACACGCGGTTCACGACTGCGGCTCTGTAAGGAAGGAGCCAAACGTTCAAGGGGGTTTGAAAAGGTACGGCCAGGTTTGGAATGCTTGGGTTAGAGCAGGAAACAAAAAGACATCTCAGAGCTGTAAGTCACTACAGTAATCAAAACCAGATGTACTGGGTTGGGTGGGGCAGGGGAGGGGTAACCCAGGTGGTAGAGTACCTGCCTGGCATGCACATAGCACAGCAGAGCGTGAGGTGGGCATGGCGGCCATACTTGTACTCTTAGCGCTCAGGAGGTAGCGGCAGGAGGAGCAGGAGTTCAAGATCAGCCTTGACTACAAATCAAGTTTGAGACCAACCTGGGCTACAGGAGAGAGACCCTATTTTTAGATACTACACTCTCAAAATACTAGAGTTTTAAAAAAATTATTTATTTTTATTTCATGTACATTGGTGTTTTGACTGTATGTATGCCTTTGTGAAGGTGTCAGATCCCCTGGAACTGGAGTTAAAGACAGTTCTGAGCTGCCATGTGGGTGCTAGGAACTGAACCTGGGTCCTACAGAAGAACAGTGCTCTTAACCACTGAGCCATCTCTCCAGACCCAAAACACTAGACTTTTAACAACTCTTATTTTTTTTTATAATAAAAGAACAAAAGAACACCTAGGTAAGAAAAATGTGCCTCAAAGTTAGGCAGTGGTGGCACACACTTTTAATCCCAGCACTTGGGAGGCAGAGACAGGCGGATTTCTGAGTTCGAGGCCAGCCTGGTCTAAATAGTGACTTCCAGAACAGCCAGGGCTATACAGAGAAACCCTGTCTCGAAAAACAAAAACAAAACAAAAAGTGAAATAAGAGGGAAAAAAATGCCTCTTTCCAGAATTTCTTTGCTGTTCATCACTTTGAAGGGAGACGGGAGTTCTATGGAACATGGCGGAAACAGCTTCGAAGTAATCCCATAGTCTGACTTGTGTGTGAGGAAACTAGCCAGGACAGGAGACCAAGCAAACTCTCTTCAAACTCAGGCAAATGAGTGAGATATCTGCTTGAAAAAACCACCATTTATTTTTTTATCCTAGCTGTAGATAGCCCCGTCCCTCTACAACCTGTAGATACCCTGTGTCCCTCGGAGACACTATTTCTTTACGTCCTCTGGATCCTCTGCCATGGATTCAGAGGCCCAAACGCCTCTCCATCAGTGCATTACGGTATTACCATACTGCTCAGAAGCGGGCAAGAAAAATGTGCACTCAGGGCCACAAGCTTCCCCCCAGCACACAGGCCTTCGATGCTACTCACCCTGCTGACACCCGGGAATCAGAACCCACAACGACACCCCCGTCAAACTCCACCGCCATGATGGTTGTCTGCAGAGAGACATTACGAAAAGTCAGAGCAAGGAGCGTCTTGACCCTTCATCTTAAGGAAGAGGAAATGTCCATGGCAGGAGGTGACTGACTCAAGGTCACACAGTCTTCTCTCCATGTTCTGTGTTGTGTCCGGCTGCAGGGGATTGTCACAGATTGGCTGTGGTACAGCATGGAAAAGAGCCCTTTCCCCAAGCCCCGGCTTCCCTGAACGTACTTCTTCCCTCCCTGAAAAGCAAGGGTGTGTTCCTAGAGGCTGAAATAACCCACATGAGAAGGAGAGCAGGACAGGAGGAGAAGGCCCAGGAAACTGTCCCTGCAGTGTGTGATGCATGCACACACATTATTACTGTGAATTACTGTGACACAAGACTAGGTTTTTCCTGGTCCTGGATCCCCCCCCCCCCCACCAACCTGCAACCTTACTCAATCAGAAGGGGAGACTTAGGGTTACTGAACAAGGGTCACAGAAGAGGCTGGTGGGTTGACATGGCCAGGAGTCGAGGCAGGGCAGAAGCAGCAAGGGTCGTTCAGGTAGGGCACACGTTTCATTTAAGTGAAGTCTCTGCAGCCAGGGGAAGGGACTGCTGGAGAGCAGAGTTTTTCCAGGTCAAGGAAAGAATTAAGGATGAGTGAAGGAGGGTAGCCATGTCTGCTTCCCCCATGCCTTCTAGGCTAAAAGGCACCTTAGAGACCCACAGTCGCACTGAGAAAACTGACCCATGGAGAATGAGCTTTCTAAGCTCACACAGGGTCTCACTCTGGATCCTGACTGATCTGATTTCTAAGTCCCACAGCTCCGCGGCAGCGAGGGAGCCTTTTCCAACCTTTCTGTCCACTCCACACCTCGCTCTGATCTCCGGGGACCCTGCCCGTGAGTATGCTTTCTGACCACAAAAAAGGCCAGAAATGGTCACTCCGTTCTAGGGGCTGCTCCTCCACACCGCGTTAAGAGTGTAGTTAGTGGCTTTCAGAGATCAGAAACCAGCTGCCACCTCCTCCTCAGCTCCTAGGCCTGGGCAAAGTTCTCAGGCAAGCATGGGAATGGTGGTAGTGGGGGGAGCAGGGCAGCACCTGGAACAAGGAGAACCACTGATCATCCCCGTCTCCCCTGCAATCCTGGGGCCAGAGAGTGAGTGGGTCCTCACTCAGGGTGGAGGTTGTCTGAGGTTAGGTTAAGCAAAGATCTGTATGATGTGTAGGTAGGTCCTTTTCAATGACCATATTACCTTCTCTCAGGTGCTTCATCGAGGACACCTCAGCACCCCTTTTGCAGGGGTTCCCAAGCCCCTCCCTCACTTGATTTAGCCAGTAGCCCCCACTGCGCAAGTCCGGAGTGAAAGCGAAAGCGCTTTGGAGCAACTTCCCTTAGACGCTTCCAGCTCGAGCCAAAGCACGCACCTTCTCACCAGCTTCGCAGGCCGATCCCTCCACAGACCCCTGGACACCACACTTCTGAGCAGGGATACCCTACGTTCACTCTGGAGCGCAAACGCTGGGCGCTACAAGCTTCCTAAGTCTCTTAGTCTCTTAGCTCACTTCCCAGAGCTTTAGGGTCCCTGGTCACCCCACCCGCTGACTGTCACCCCCAGACCCATTACCCCGGTGTGGACTTCTTCCATCCGGGCTGTAGGTGCTCCTGCCCGCAGCATCCTGGCAGAGCAGAGCTCGGCTTTCCAATCAGCGGCGGCGCGCGGCGCAGGCAACTTGCAGCCTGAGGCCCCGCCCCATCATCGCACAAGGGGCGTGCGGTTCTACAAAGCGTTTGGCGCCCAGAGCCAACCTGAGCAGGGCAGATCTGCCCAGAGACAGGTGACGACAGAGGGTCCCTCCCTGAAGCTGGGGTGGGGCCTGAGATGGGAAAATTCATACAAGCAAGGGAAGAAGGCTGGGGAAGGAGAGGAGAATGAGAGTCATGGAGAAGAACATAGCACGCCATGGTTGCTAGGCAGAACTGTAACTCGGACTTCAGTGGCAGCTTCCAGAACAGCCTGGGCAAGCCAGTCTCAGAAGGGGGCGTGCCTAGTGAATCGGCGGCAGCTTTCGGTTTCTTCTTCCTCTAAATGCTGGCACTTCTAGTCAGCGCCACCAGCTCGAGCGGGTTCCCGGGACTTTCCGTGCACGCCCTCGGACCCGCCCTTCTTCGCTCCGGACAGAGACTCCAGAGCCGCGCGGACGGACTGCGAGAGTCCCAGACTAGGACCAGACTCTGGACAGCGCACGCTCCATGGCTGCACACGCTTGGCTGGCGGCAGCACTGCTGCCGCTGGTGGACTGGCTGCTGCTGCGGCCCGTGCTCCCGGGAATCTTCTCCTTGTTGGTTCCCGAGGTGCCGCTGCTCCGGGTCTGGGCGGTGGGCCTGAGCCGCTGGGCCATCCTGGGACTAGGAGTCCGCGGGGTCCTCGGGATCACCGTGGGAACCCATGGCTGGCTGGCTGCTTTGCAGCCGCTAGTGGCGGCGCTGAGTTTGGCCCTGCCTGGATTTGCCTTGTTCCGAGAGCTGGCCGCCTGGGGAGCACTCCGAGAGGGTGACAACGCTGGATTACTGCACTGGGACAGTCGTCCGGATGCCTTCGTTCTCAGTTATGTGGCAGCATTGCCCGCAGCCGCCCTGTGGCACAAGTTGGGGAGTCTCTGGGCGCCCCGCGGCCGCGGGGGCGTTGGAGACATGCTGTGTCGGATGCTAGGCTTCCTGGACTCCAAGAAGCGGCGTCTCTACCTGGTTCTGGTTCTCTTGATCCTCTCCTGCCTTGGTAAGGGAGACTCGGGGCGAAAGAGCAGGCCACAGGGGACAGGGCAGGATTTTAGAGTAATGGGCAGAAAGGAAAAGTAAAGTGGTCCCGGAAAGTGTCAGAACCTAAGGAGGCAACTTAGGCAGAAAGAGAAGGACCCAGGCCTGAGAAGGGGTCCTGACAAGGGCGTTGGGGACAGGGTCTTCCCAGGTCTGAGAAGGGATCCTGACAAAGGCGTTGGGGACAGGGTCTTCCAGGAGCAGAACTTCACATCATAGCCCTAGTGTGAGAGTTTCTTTCCACACCGCCATCTTTTCTTTTCTTCTCTTTTCTTTTTTCTTTTCTTCTCCTCCTCTCCTCTCCTCTTCTTTTCTTTCCTCTTTGAGACAGGGTCTTTCTATGTAGCTCTGGCTGTTCTGGAATTCACTATATAGCTCACCCAGGCTGACCTCAAACCCAGAGAGATCTGCTTGCCTCTACTTCCAGTGCTGGGATTAACCACCTGCGCCCCAAGCCGTGCTCACCGCCATCTTTCTTAAGTAGCCCTTGAAAAGTCTGATGTCACTGAACAGGCTTGGGTCGGGGAGCACAGGAGTCGTGGGTGGTTCTCTCATAACGTTTGTGACTGAGGTGTCTCCCCTCTCTCCCCAGGGGAAATGGCCATTCCCTTCTTCACCGGCCGCATCACTGACTGGATTCTTCAGGATAAGACAGTTCCAGGCTTCACCCGAAACATCTGGCTCATGTCCATTCTCACCATAGCCAGGTATGGGGGTGGGAATGAGGATCCCAGAGCAAAGGGCACTGGATGTTGGCACTGTTAAGTTACACTTCTGTGGGGATCTGGCACTGTCTCAGGAAGGAGAGTGATCCTCCTGTGTCTCTGACTCTCTAGTACAGCGCTGGAATTTACAAGCGATGGAATCTACAACGTCACCATGGGCCACATGCACAGCCGTGTGCACGAAGAGGTGTTTCGGGCCGTCCTTCGCCAGGAGACAGGGTTTTTCCTGAAGAACCAAGCAGGTCTCTCACGAAACCTTTTCACTTGGATAATATAATCTCCGTATCACCATACATGCTCTCAACTGTGCCCCCTACAAACATGTACACACACACATGCCCAGCATCATATGGATGGGGTGTGGTAGTTCCAACACTTGGGGGATGGAGGCGGGAGCTAGAGGCTGAAGTTCAAAGTCTTGCATTTACATAGTCAATCTGAGGCCAGCCTAGGCTACAGGAGATCCTGTCTCTGAATCCAAGACTTCCTGTATGTTAGGCAAAAGTTCTACCAGCTGAGAGACCCCCTTCCCAAGCCTTCTTATTCATGGTATATCGCAAATATAGCAAAACGTTGTCTTTTTTTTTTTTTTTTACTCTAAGAAAAGCAGTATTTGCATTCAAAATTCCCTATAGATAGAAATGGCAGACTTACAGCCCTGGAAAGCCAGAGACCCTCAACTCCAACTGCCTCATTTAAAATGGAGGAAATTGAATTCTAGTCACGAGACTTCCAAACCTGCCTAGGCAGACACACTGGGGTTAGACCCGAGGGTCTCCATTTCCTAAACGACCTGGGCCTGCCTCCCTGGCTGCTGCCTCTTTTCTTTGCATGGCTACTGGAGGGCCAGTGGCAGGGACCATCCAGGAGTTACAGCATCTGAGGAGCTGAAAGCTTTCAAGAAACTGGGAGTTCATTTACATTAGCTTTTTTTGTTTTTGGCTACACAGGGTGTCACTGTGTAGCCTTGGCTGACATAGAATTCACTAGGTAGGTCAGACTGGCCTTTGCTGCCTCTGCCCCCAGACTGTTGGGATTAAAGGTGTGTGACACCGTACCCAGTTATAACTCCTTTACAGGCAAGTGCAGGCCTACTAGATGTTTCCTTTCTTCCCCCCTGCATTGAAGTTCCTGCACCTCCCCAACCTCCTACCCCTGTTACCCCCCCTCAGGATGCTGTGCTGACACGCCCACCCTGCCCCCTCCCCCGACTGTCAGCTCCTCTTGTCTCTGGACAACTTGCTCACTGTCTCTCCTGTTCTCTGTTTGGGCAGGTTCCATCACATCTCGGGTGACCGAGGACACAGCCAACGTGTGCGAGTCCATTAGTCACAAGCTGAGCCTGCTGCTGTGGTACCTGGGGCGAGGCCTGTGTCTCCTGGTGTTCATGGTTTGGGGGTCACTGTACCTCACTATGGTCACCCTGGCCGCCCTGCCCCTGCTTTTCCTTCTGCCCAGGAAGCTGGGGAAAGTGAACCAGGTGCGTGCGTTCCCAGATCCTCAGCTCCTAAGCTCGGTTTCTCCGAGACAACTTTCAGTGTGGCTTTCCACTCTTCCATCATCCTGAGCTCTGTCCTGTTACGGCTGGCCCCACACTGCCCTGCACCCACATCTGTGTACTCTGCCTTCTTGTCTAACTTCTGGCCACATTCTGTCCTTATGAATAAGATCCCGGGCCAGAGAGGCAGCTCAGGGTTAAGAGTGCTGTTTGTCCCTCCAGGGGACCTGAGTTTGATTCCCAGCGCCCATACCAGGCAGTTCTCAGAGGTCTGTAGTTCCAGCTTCAGGGGATCTGACTCCCTCTACTGGTCTCCATGGAGATCTATACACATGATACACACACAAACACAATAAAATAAATCATAAAAAAACTGGATTCATTTCCTCCACGCCTCTTCTACCTAGAAGTATGGCTGTAGACCTTTCTCTTCCCTCTGTCCCTCTGACTCTTGACTTTAATGTTTAGATGTGTGTATTCTTTCTCCTTTGGACACCCCATGTGATGTCTCTGGTCCTTGTCCCCCATAGTCAGTGGCAGCGAAGGTACAAGAGTCTCTAGCAAATTCCACGCAGGTGGCCATTGAGGCCCTGTCGGCGATGCCTACCGTACGGAGCTTTGCCAACGAGGATGGAGAGGCCCAGAAGTTCAGGCAGAAGTTGGAAGAAATGAAGACACTAAACAAGATGGAGGCCTTGGCTTATGTCGCTGACATCTGGACCACGAGTGTGAGTACCAGGAAATGAATGTCCACTCCTTTGTGTGAACATGTCTTGATTTTGCTGTTTCTCAACCCTCCTGCTCCTCCTCCACTGGGGAGTGATTGGCTCGGGGCAGTGTTTTGTGGTGCTAAGAAGTGACCTTCCACATTGGGACACAAAGCCCACTTGACCTGTGTTAGGTCCCCACTCTCCCAGCTCCAGCTCTTCCTTGGCTTCTGAGGAAGCCACATGTTTCCTGCATGGTGTGTGCTTCATGCGGTCACTGTGTGGGCGAGCTAGTGGGAACCATGAGAAGTGCCAGTGGCCAGTGGCCAGGGGCAGCTGTGATAAGGACATACAGAGAACTAAAGTTATAATCAGAGATCCCAGGCTCCATTCTGCCACCAACCAGTTCTGTATTCAGCGCACGTCACCTTTTTCTGAGTCTGCTGCCCTGTTTTGAAAAAATGGGAATAAAAACCGACGTGGCGGTCCACATCTGTAATCCCGGTACTCACTCTGAGGCAGGAGGACTGCTGTGAGTTTCCAGCCATCGTGAGTTACGATGTGAGACTTGTCTCAGTGAAAGGCGTGGGGGAGTGAGATGGCTCAGGAGGTAGGTGTGTCTACTGTCATGCTGCCGAGCCTGGTGACCTGAGATCCATCTCTGGAACCCACATAACGGATGGAAGGAGAGAACTGACTCCCGAAAGGTGTCTTCTGACTTCCACAAGGTGCACTGTCGTGCCTACTCACATACAAGAATAAATAGATAAATAAATGTAGTAAAAAGTAATAATAACAATAATAAACAGCAAGAAAGGTATGGTATAACCCCCTTTACAGAGGCTCTTGATG